AACAAAACAGTTACTAAAAGTTCACAATTTAGCATACCAGAATTTGAAAATCAGCCTAAAGGTGTTTTAGAAATTCATAAGGAAAGGGCAGTAAGGTTACAGAGCTCTGTGGTTCTCATCAGGACGTGTTTATCAGATTTTACAAATGCCACATGGACTGCTCAAATATAATCTTGTTTTCTTTATCAAAATGCATATGAATGGGATTCTATAGTTATACTGTTTTTATAAAAGAAGAAATACAGCCGTTATTTTGATCCAGTGATATCCATGGCTGAAATCACTTTTAGTCTTGAATTTCTTCTGCTGAAATTTTTCTTCCTAGATAGGTTCATAGTAGTGTTTGGATTTTGTTATCATATATATCAAATGTGGTACAATGACAGGAATCTTATTTTACACTAAAAACAGTAGCTTTTAGTCTAGTTGCCTGTATTGATAGTTACCTAAACTTCTACTAGTTATCTTGTGTCTTCTTAGCTCAGTTTTCTATTAAAAAAGAACAGAATCTACCTCTTACAAGTGGGTGCATATGTGTGTGCGCTTGTGTGTCTTTTGGGGGGTTTGCCCATGAGAAGTCAGACACATGGAGCATGATTAATATGAAAAAAGCATATGTCAATACTCCCCTTTCAAATATTTGAAAATAGCTGTTGTTTACCATAAAGTCTGATTTGTAGTCAGTTTTTAATAAACATTTATGATTATCTTTCCAACACCAATGAGCAGTTTACATAGCTTTAGTGGTTCTTGTTGTTTATCTAGCAGACTGTGGTAATCAATACAAACATTCCCTTTTAGCTGTTAATGAAAAATCCTGAAAAATGAAGAGCACAGATTTTATCAGTTTCCCTCTAACAAAAGCACGATGTGTTTCCCATCTCCTGAATTTACTTTCCAGAACAAATATCCCTCAAGCCCTCTAGTGATGCCCAAGGCTTTGGGGAAATTTGAATCAGATACCCATGGTTATTCTGCAATATGATTCAAAAGCAACACTTAAACCTAACAGCCAATATTACATGTATTTATGAAGCTCTGAAGCTAATGACATTAGGATCAAGGTATTTACCAACTAGCACTTCTTTATTTTCTGAAGTTCTTAGAAATATGATAAGAATATGAGAAGAAAGAGTTGACACAATTTGGGTGATATAATTATCTTTCAATAAAAGCTCAAGCAATCTATTATTAAAATCAAACCATTAAATAGGTGTAATAAAGCAGAAAATGCAAACAACATATAAAATTAATTGTATTTATATGAATTAGGAATAACCAGTCAGAAAATATAAGAAAATTATATTTCTATCTGTTCCTTGAAACTATAACTAAGGAAAGAAGTAACAAGAAATCAGAGAGAAGTTATCTGAAAAAAAACATAAAGTGAAATAAGAGATATAAATATTTCCTACATTAATTTAAAGCACAATATTTCAATGATGTCAATTCTCCTTAATGAATTTAAAAGTGTAATACAATTTCAGTCAAAATTTAAAAAGTATAATTTTGGACATTGACAAGGTGATTATAAATGGGTGAGAATAAATGGGTGCAGATAGCTAGGAAAGAAAATGAGAAGAAATTTAAACATTACTTATTAAAAGACTATACAATTATAGATTCCACACATTTATGTGTGAAGCAATAAACGCATTCAAAGATAGGGCTGGGAATGTGGCTCAGTGGTTGAGTGCCCCTGAGTTCAAGCCTCAGTACCAAAAAAAAAAAAAAAATTGGCACCAAAAAAAAAAATAACCGAGGCAGAAGAGAGAAATTCTGAAAGAATATTTATACCAAAGTGACTAAGCTTTGAATTTGTCAGTCATTGGGATAATAGTTGAGTTTTGCTGAATATAATATTTCTGGACCAGAATGAGAACCCTGGAATGGTATGCATTGTGTTGCTTACTGAAGGATAAGATCAGATAAATTATAGTAAAATAAAGGGAACATTTTACCTACTCTCAATTATGATTGTACAATTTATACCTTTTACACATGTAAATCCAATTCTCTATAATAAGAATACATCATTTTCACCAAAGTATAATAAATATTATATGAAAGAAAATTCTAGAGGTTTCAACCAAAAAAGCAAAACTAATTAGGAATTTTAGACTTTCACAAATGGAAAGATGTGGAAATACCTGTTATGTTCATAAAACAGTATCAAAGGGAGATAAATCAGCTCTTGTCAAGCTTTTGCAAAGCTGTTCATATCGTTGTCACATTTGGGTAAATGAATTAGAAGAGTGGATAAAAGGAAGAATGCTTCCATACAGCTTCTCTGATACATGCATTTATTTATTAGGCTATCAGAGAGAGCTAATCTCAGTGGATTCACTTAGTAGTAGAAATTATTGCAGAGCAGGAAGCTTACATAATCCATTATGAGTTCGAATTTTTATCAAACCACCTAATTAAAAGTTCTTTCTTTCTTAAACTGCTTAATGAGGAGGTGCATCACGACTCCTGGAGTGAGTCAGGGGTTTTCAAGGATTTAAGGCTGAAGTCAGTAAATGCCTCGCATGATATCTCATTAACCATCATACAGTTCCATGGGGGTCAAAATAACACCAACATTGTTAGCTATTGTAATGCAGATGGAGAGCATTGATTGACATCATCTCTGACCTCTTAAAGGAAGCTGTTCTTTTGCTGAACTTTTTCTATCTCAGACTTATATTTTAAGTCTTCTTTTCCCTTTTATTTCCATGCTTTCCTCCCATTCTTTTCTGCTTCAACAATCACTATAATGGTTAAAGTATACTTTTTGTTGGTAAATCTTCTTCCAGAATGAGGATGTTTACATGTAATTTTAAATTTGTGTATATTACGACCTACTAGAGATTTCATGACATGCCTGATTATGTCACCAAGCATCCATGCATACTATGAGTTTCTGAGGTCCCTCTTTCCACACTGAAGTTGTCCTCTGTACATTTTCTTCTGTGGATATTACCACTGTCATGTTTATTTTCAGGAAATTCTTTATATTAAAGATATTAGCCCCTTGTCCATTTTATAAATCAATATTACCTTCTCCCAATTTGTTATGTTTTTAAAATGTGTCTGTGATATTTTCAAATGAATCAAACTTCAAATTTTTAATTTTACAGTTTATGATTGAGAAATAATAATGTTTTTCCACAATAAGATTGCAAATATGTTTTTTTTATATTTGCTGCTACTAATTTAATAGTTCTCCCTTTTGTCTGTAGGTATTTAATCCATCAGGAGTCCATTTGTAAATGATCTTTATTAGGTGTCTAATTTTTTTTTGTTTCCATATAATGAGGCATAGAAATATATTTTATTTTTTCAACTGATTAAAGCATTGGTTTTATTATACAGTAAGTTCTCAAAGTCACTATATGTAAGTGGTCTGTCTCTGAACTCTACTCTAGTTCCCAACTGGGCTATTTATCTGTTTTGTATGAATGCCATGCTATATTGTACTGCTGTGTCACTGTGGTTTGTCA